TGCTACAAATTACTTTAGAGACATCTTTCAATCATCCAATCCTGAGTCAATAGAGGAGGCTCTTTCTGAAGTATCAGCCACAATTACTTTATCCGATAATGAGACTTTGACAGCTCCGGTTACTGAATGGGAGGTTAAATTGGCTCTTTTCGCGATGCACCCGGAGAAAGCTCCAAGACCAGATGGGATGACGGCGTTGTTTTACCAGAAGTTCTGGGATATTGTTAAGAATGATTTAACCCTTATGGTTAATCAATTCCTTTTTGAGGGAACGGTGCCGACTGGTTTAAATGATACCAACATCTGCCTCATTCCAAAAGTGGATAAGCCAAACCAGATGAGTCAGTTACGCCCTATTAGCTTATGCAATGTTAGCTATAAGATTATCTCTAAGGTCTTATGCCAGAGATTGAAGAAGTTTTTACCAGATAGGATCTCAGAGACCCAGTCAGCCTTTGTTGCTGGGAGACAGATATCAGACAATATTATGATAGCTCAGGAGTTGTTTCATGCTTTAAGAACGAAACCGAATGGCCGAAATAAGAGGATGGCTATCAAAACTGATATGAGCAAGGCATATGATAGGATGGAGTGGTCCTTCATCGAGGCCACCATGAGAAAGATGGGATTTTCTGAAGTCTGGATTACTATGATAATGAGATGCGTTACATCAGTAAAGTACAAGGTTCTCATGAATGGTCAACCAAGAGGAAATATCATTCCGGAGAGAGGTCTAAGACAGGGGGATCCCTTGTCCCCTTTCATTTTTATTCTGTGCACGGAAGCGCTCGTTAGCCTTCTAAATCACGCAGAGAGCCAAGGAAAGATAACAGGGATGCGTATCACGCGTGCGTGTCCCTCGGTATCCCATCTTCTCTTTGCTGATGATAGTTTGTTTTTCTGTAAGGCGGAGCCCCATGAATGTGAAGAAGTAATGAAAGTGGTCAAGGTATATGGACAAGCTTCAGGACAATGCATTAATTTTGATAAGTCTTCTTTACTCTTTGGTAAAAGAATTGGCCAGGATGTGAGACAAGAGATAAAAGACACGCTTGAGATCCAGAATGAAGGTGGAATGGGGTCATACTTAGGTATACCAGAGGATATCAGTGGTTCAAAATGCAAGCTTTTTGCTTTTCTCAAGGACAAGCTGAGAAATAGAGTGAATTGGTGGACTGGTAAATGGCTTTCCAAAGGTGGAAAAGAAGTTATGATCAAATCAATCCTCCTAGCTCTGTCGACGTATGTAATGTCTTGTTTCCTTCTCCCATTGGAGATTTGCGAGAATTTAGCTAGTGCCATTGCACAGTTTTGGTGGAGTTCTAATCCGCCAAAAAGGGGTATTCATTGGTCGACATGGGACAAATTATGCCTACCCAAAGAAGAAGGTGGGATTGGCTTTAGGATGATCCATGAGTTTAACCTTGCGCTTCTTGCGAAGCAAATGTGGAGACTAGTGCAGAATCTGGATTCTCTGGTAGCTCGTGTTTTGTGAGGCCGTTATTATAGATTGAGTACGCCGTTGCGTCCAATTAATGCTAGCAACCCATCATATGTGTGGACAAGCATTTCGGCAGGACGAGAGCAGTTATTACTAGGAATCAGACAGAAAGTACACTCAGGTTATGAAATAAGAGTTTGGGATGACCCTTGGATTCCCACTATACCTGCGAGACCAGCAACTTCACTGGCTCCGGTCATGCATCCAAATATGAGAGTGAGTGACTTGATTGACCAAACAACGAAGAGTTGGGATGAGAGGCGATTACAAGATTATATTGTGGCAGATGATATACCATTGATCAGGAGTATGGCCATTAGTTCCACGCATCGATGGGATACGTATTGCTGGAGCTATACAAGGAATGGACAGTATACAGTAAAATCTGAGTACTGGGTAGCACGGAATATCTTGAGGAAGGAAGAGGAAACAGTAGTATGTGAACCTAGTATCACTAAACTCCAAGCACATGCTTGGAAGGTCAGAGCCCCTCAAAAGATTTGTCATCTTATGTGGCAGTTGATAACGGGACATGTTGCAGTTACGAGCATCTTAAACTACAGACATATGAGATGTGACAACCATTGTNCGGAATATCTTGAGGAAGGAAGAGGAAACAGTAGTATGTGAACCTAGTATCACTAAACTCCAAGCACATGCTTGGAAGGTCAGAGCCCCTCAAAAGATTTGTCATCTTATGTGGCAGTTGATAACGGGACATGTTGCAGTTACGAGCATCTTAAACTACAGACATATGAGATGTGACAACCATTGTCCTCGTTGTGGGGTACCTGAGGAGACGATCACTCACGCAATATTTGAATGTCCACCTGTTTTACAAGTTTGGGCACTATCATCCACGCCTTCCAATCCCGCTTTGTCCCCAGTACAAAGCACGTACGCGAATATGGATTATTTGTTCTGGAGGAAGAATGCGATAATGGAACCGGATTTGGACAGGGATCCTTATCCTTGGTTAATCTGGTACATTTGGAAGGATAGGAATGACAAGCTATTCAGAGGCATTGATAGGGAACCATTGGAGATTGCACGATATGCAGAAAGCGAATGTCAAGCATGGTTCAAAGCAAATGAGCAGGAAATTCCGGTGTCCACTGGGAACGGAACAGAGGAAGACCAGATCTTAAGTTTGGCTAATATATGCATGATAGCTGGTTCTTGGACCTCTACAAATATTTTCAGTGGTTGTGGATGGGTGCTGAATGACAATTTCGGAAAGAGTGAATTGATGGGGCTGCACAATTTTGATCGAGTGGAATCGGCGTTGCATTCAGAGTTGGAAGCACTTCGGTGGGCAATGGAGAATATGCTTCAACATTCGCCATGTCAGAGCTTTGGAACTGATTGCAAGGAGATGATTGAGATGCTCAAGAATCCTAAGGCATGGCCTAACTTCTCAACAGAACTGGAAAAGCTGGAGACCCTGAAGATATGCTTCCCTGACTTTAAGATTTCTTATGTCCCTAGATTACAGAATAGTGTTTCTGATTCTCTCGCTAAGACAGCTAAGTCTTATTATCGTAAGCTTGTGTACGTTGGTTGTTCTATTCCGGTCTGGATTCGCAGACCATCTCAAGTTCTTTGAGTAATAGATCAGCCATTTGATGTCAAAAAAAAGAAAGATAAGGTCACAGAACCAAAACATTGAGGAAACCCGGATTCTTTGATTACAGAACCGGTCCTAATGTCAAGCCGGATGAAATATTAATATTAGATCTTCAAATTTTTGAAGAAAATTATATATATAGATTTGTAGAGAAAAATTTAGACCCCAAATCAATAAAAAAAAATTAGTTAAAATCTTTAAAAAATTGTCTTATATTCCCTAAAAATAAATCTCAAGGTCTACTCTAGAGATACATATTCTTCATGTACAAACAAAAAAACTTAACTCGAAACAGCATCTAAAACTGGAATTGACAAGAGTGACAAGATAATATCCTCGTAATGTATTAGTATTTATCTATATGCTTGGATAACATTGTTAAATGGGTGGACTTAAATGGGTGGATTGACAATTGGTTCTTTGTATCCATATGTCAATGAGTCTATTTTGGTAACACTCATTTGTCTATGTGGATATTAATGGACAAAAATCACTAGACCATTGAACAATAGATATTCATGGGTTTGGACAATATGAACATGATTCACCCAATGGTCACAAAAACTATGTTTCCAAAACTTTATCATTTGATTTCTCTCAAAATCAAAAGTGTTTTTTTTGTCAAATCGAGTTTTCGTCTGAATCACAAAATTCAAGTTTTCTCGCCCAAATCACAAAACCCAAAATTTTCTATCGAAATCGTAAAATCAAGATTTCCCGCCAAAATTGAAAATCGAGGTTTCCCACCAAAATCGCAAAATCGAGATTCCCGCCAACATCGCAGAATTGAAATTTCTGCCAAAATCGCAAAACCAAGATTTCCCATCAAAAAAGCAAACTGAGAGTTCCCGCAAAAATCGTAAAATATAGATTTTTTTGCCAAAATCACAGAACCGAGATTTCAGCCAAAATCTCAAAGCCGAAATTTCCTGCCAAAATCTTGGACAAAATCACAAAACTGTATTTTTCCGTCAAAATTGCAAAATTGGGATTTTAAGCAAAATCACAAAACTTAATTTTAACGTTAAAATCAAAATTTCCCGCCAAAATCAGAAAATCAAGTTTTTCCGTTGAAGAGTTTTTGCTAAAATCAAGATTAGTCAAACCCACAAAACAAATTTTCTGCCAAAACCGTTAAACTAAAATTTTCCACCAAATCTTATTTTATTCTAAAACCACAAAACAAGTTATAACCAAAATCTTATTTTTCCGTCAAAATTGTAAAAAACATATTATGATGTATTGAATATTTAACGACTTTTAAAACAAATTTGAACTGCAACATGTTTATTTATATGGTTCTATATGAATTACATGAAAATTGGAAAATGGATATGGACAAATGAACTTGGGCGCTAGCCTATTTTACAGTCTTTTGATCAAAACATATTTATAAAGAGATTCTTTTTAAAGAGCGGAATGGATAGTTACCGTTTTTTTTTTTTTTTTTAAGTTACCGTTACAATCAGGGATAAGCTCTTTAAGAAGATGCATGCTTACGTGCTACAATAATCACATAATGTCTTTTTCCTTCGTAAACCATAAGTGTCAATTCTTCTGCTTGATGATTACCGCTTACGGAAACTGATCTGAGATCAACGCCTAACACGAGCATACAAATTCCTACAGCATACTGCAAGATTTTCCTTCCAAGGGTTGAGAGATAGACATAGAAATTTTATCAGATCTAATTAGTAATAAAATAAATATGTGGTTCTAAAATTGAAATATTTATCTGGGTCGTAGAAGCAATATCATAAACTCAGTGACTTAAGTGTCAAAATATTAAATTCCGTGAGTTGAATTAAAAATATTCTTCAAAGTTCTGAAGATTTGAAATCAGGAATCTCGATTTCTCTCTCTGCTTCGATCATGGGCAAAAACACGAAGAAGACGAAGATCAGACCGGAATTGAAGAACGGAGGGATTCTACTTGCGGAGCTAATCGCTTCCTTCAACGGCAAAACCAACCCGATCCGCTGCTTCTCCTCCGATCAAATCCTCAAAGCAACCAACAACTTCTCGGAAACCCTAATCATCTCAAGCTGGGGATACTTCACATGGTACAAAGGCGTAATCGAAGACAGACCCGTCTCAATCAAGAAATGGTCCAACCAAAGCCTCTCAAGCTTCACCGAAGCCTATCGCGATATCTCCGTTTCCTCACAGATGAGCGGTCACAAGAACGCTCTCAAGCTTCTCGGTTGCTGCTTAGACTTCGATCTCCCGTCTCTAGTCTGTGAGTTCACGAAACACGGTCCTCTCAACAGAGACGGTGGGATATCAAGCGGAGAGCCTTTACCGTGGAGAGTGAGGTTGAAGATCGCCAAGGAGATCGCTAGCTCCGTGGCGTATCTCCACACGGCGTTTCCGGAGACTATAATCCATCGGAATATTAACCCCACGAATATCTTCGTGGATGAGAATTGGAATGCGAAGCTATCTGACTTCTGGTTCTGTGTTGCGATTCCGGAAGGGGAGTTGTATGTGGAAGACGATGTGAAAGGTGTGATCGGGTTCGTTGATCCGGATTATTACTGGACCATGAAGGTTACGGAAAAGGTTGATGTGTATAGCTTTGGAGTTGTGATGTTGGTTTTGTTGTCGGGAAGAGCGGCTGTGTTTAATGGGCCGGGGGAGGCGCCTATGTCGCTTAATGATCATGTGTCTGAGGTTATGGAGAAAGGTGGGTTTGAAGAGGTTGTTGATAGAGAGGTGTGGAGTGTTGTGGATGTTGATGAATTGGTTGTGAGGAAGTTGCAGGTTGAAGCGTTTCTTAGGTTAGCGTTGAGGTGTGTGAGGTATAAGAAAGAGGATACGGTGAGTGGTATGATTGAAGTTGCTAAAGAGCTCAAGTTGATTGAGAAACTCTCTTGATTAGCCTTATCTGTTTTGTTGTTGTGATGTTGGTTTTGTTGTCTGGACGGAGTTATTACCTTCTTATAGTATATGAGTTTCGAGTAAAACTTTATTTTGATTAACGAAAGACTTTAGAGGGTGAATAGATCTTAGCATCGGTTAGATCGGAAAGCATAGTTTCTAAAAACCTGCTTGAAACTATATCCCGAGTGACCTTTGCTATACGTCGTTCACGTCAAGTCCCTTCCTCTATATGTATGCAGCTTCTCTTCTTCTCAGAGATAAGACAACGACACTGACCTGTATGCTCGTATAAGCAACCACAGCAACTTTCTGAAACGGTTTTGACTGCTGTTTCAAGTTTAGTTTTCTTGTTTGTATATGCAGAAAATGGAGTTCTTGAATGAGCAAGGATGTATTATGGTTAATGGGGACGAAACTATATTGTCTTGGATTGTACCATTAAAAGTTTGATAGGGGATTACAAATGCTGTGACTTATTTCACACGGCAAAAGAGAAGGTAAATATATATCATGTCGTATTGGATGTTGATTATTCAACATCTTTTGAGATCCACTCGTTTGCATATTATTTTTCTTATCAAGAACAAAAATAACGATCTTACTCTCTCAACTGTATCTGCAGATTTTGCTGTCTGAAGCATCATCATCGACGATGGGATGCTGGAGAAGGAAGAAAAAGAATAAGAAGAAAGAAAAGGAGAAGGCGAGAATTTGGTTCCTCAGAAATGGAAGCATGTTTCTTGAGCAACTCATTGCAGACTGTAACGGCATATCAAACCCTATCCGAGTGTTCTCTTCCAACCAAATCTCCAAAGCCACGAATCACTTCGATCCATGTTCTCTCATTGATCAGTCAGAAACCTTCATTTGGTACAAGGGCGTTATCGAAGGAAGATCTTACATGCTCAAGAGATTTACGGAGCCATGGCGTGAAGACGAGCCTTACAACGATATCGTCTTGTCTGTTCGGGTAAGTAATTACAGTGGTTTCCCGAAACTCATGGGATGTTGTCTCGACTTTCCTACTCCAGTGGTGGTGTTTAAAGACCTAGAATTTAGATTTTTGAACCGACGAGGAAGTATTGGTTGTGAGGATGCACCGTTGTTACCGTGGAATGTTCGTTTAAAGATTGCGAAAGAGGTTGCAACGGCTATAGCTTATCTTCATACGGCTTTCCCTAGAGTCATTATACACAGAGATATAAACCCAAGGAATGTTTTGTTGGATAAGAATGGAACGGCTAAGCTGACTGGTTTATCGCTTTCGGTAACACTCCCTGAGGGTAAATCATGGATTGAAGAGACGGTGCTTGGAACTCATGGATATGCAGATCCTATTTATAGTATGACGGGCATACTGACAGCATCTTCAGATGTGTTTAGTTTTGGAATTCTCATGTTGGTTCTTCTGATGGGAAGACGGCCATTTCTGGTTGGATCAGATGGCGTGTTGGATCCTCAGAGATTGATGCTTGACTATGTGAGGGATCTCCAGGAGAGAGGAGAACCTGTTGAATTTGGGGGTGATTCAAACGACATGAGGCTTTGTCAGATGAAAATGTTTCTCGACCTGGCACTGAGATGCTGCAAGAAGAGGAATGAAGACAGGCCAAAGATGATCTTGGTGGCAAAAGAGATTAAGCTAATAGAAAAAGGAAAACTCGATTGCTCTGGGGATGGTCAGATTTAACATTTTAGATTATGCATATACTGGGTTTGTGTATTACTGGATTTGTTATCAACATGATGTATGCATTTTTGATAAACTTTCATTTTGATTAAGAAAGAGGTTTGAGGGTAAATAAATCTATCTTTGGGTTCTGAAAGCAAGCAGAACATGTAACGTGGTTCTCTTTTCCAGAAAAGCTTGATGTTGAACAAAGGAGTAAGTAAGGATCTTAGTTCTCGCTTAGAGTATCCCAGAGGGATCTTAGTAAGGATCTTTTCCCAGAGGGGAAATCCTAAATGGAAGATCAAGTGATGGGATGGATAGTTGGATTCTATATATCTCCATACGAGTATTGTGACAGCGTATGATGATGTTTATAGCTTTGTATTCTTTATGGTTGTTCTTTTATGGCTCCACGTTTGATGTGCGACGCTTCATCGATATCCTCCGTGACTATGTAAGATGCTTACACGAGAAAGGAGAGTTTACCATTTACCATGTTGGAATGAGAATACTGCGTAGGCTGGAAGACCTCAGGTTGACAATTTTGTGGAGCTTAAGTTCATAGGCTGCGATAAGAGTGTAGGGAAGAGACCGAATATGATTGATGTCGCCAAGGAGCTCAAATGGATAGAGAGATATCAGTAAGTTGATAGCAAGCTGGTCCTAGCTCTGAGGATTCTGACCTAGATGAGAGCATATTATAGGTCCATTTTGCTTACTTTTTATATAACTATTGGGGGAGAATCTTGCACTAAGTTGCTATTGGAGTTTGTATTCTCATTCTGTATAAGTAAAGCAGACCCAAAAATAATCTGAAAATTAGTAATTTACTATTCTTGTAAATATCTATAGAATATAATTGTAACAAAATACTAGATTCTAACCCGTGCTGCAGACCCGAAATTATTTTTTATTGATAAATTTATTAAAATATATTTTGTTCATTAAAATATTTAGGTATGGATATTTAGTTTTTTGTTTGCTTGCAATTTTATATTTTGTGGTTTTCGGTTTAGTTTTGATTTGAGTGTAGTTTTGGTTCAAGAAATATAGGTGAGGATTGTTTGTTTGGTTATAGTTTTTGGTTTTTCTGTAGATTTTTGTTTTTTGAAAAACTTAAATGGTGAATTAGATTTTAAATTTTGGTTCAAAACTATAGATTAATGTAATAAATAAAATAATTTATAATGATAATATATTTCTTTTGAACATAATAAAAATATAACATGTTATCAATAAGAACAAACATACAAAGATCGTTATATAAAATTTCAACTGAAATTTTCAATTTATCAAATATTTGGAAATTGATATTTAGACATACTACAATATATATTAATGTTTTCCTTTTAAAACGATCCATATTTAAAAAAATAATCAACTATACATTTTTTAAATTTTCATAGTATTTTTATTAGTTGATAGTTGTAGTTAGTAAATGTTAAAAGTTTAATCGTGTTTACTAAATTTCTATTAGCTAAAATTTGTGAAACTATTTAATTATAAAAAGTTCATTTAGAATATAATTTAATATACTTTATTAATATGTGTGCAAAATTCTAATTTTTTTTGGTTAACCGTAGGTATCCTAAAAGTTTTCTAGGCCCAAAGATTAATCTGACGAGACTAATAGAAATTCGGATTTTCTTGCCATTTAAAGTGTCCATGGGTGGCTAATGCTATTCGAACTCATGACGGAAACTCCAGCTAGAGACTAAAATGTGGATTATTTGAATCAAATGAGTATTATATAATTACTTTCTATTATAAATAAAACAAATTAAGATCCAAAATTATATGTATTTGTTTCGCTGAAAATTTTAACAAAAGTGGTTTTTGGTTTCTCTTTAGAAAGTAGCAAAATTTTTTTTAAAAAAAAATTCCTTAAATTATAGGGAATCTATTCTAAAAAATTGATTGTCTAAAATTTGTTTTTTTTTTTCAAAAACAAAACCAAAAACTAATTCAAAAATCTGTAAACAATCATCAGGTATATATGATAAAAGTAAAGCCATAAACAATCTGTAAATTTTTTAACCATCAGGTATATATGATAAATATTTTAATATTGGAGTTTGAAGTGTGTTGTCAAATATTGTATAAACTTTTTTGTCAGCATCAATATTGTATAAACTTATTTAATATTTAATAAATGATATATATGCAAGGTATAAATATCGTACCTCTTATAAGCACTAAGCATGATTATTTTATATTTTTATAGTTAAATAATTTGTTTACTTTGATAAATTGATTAATATGTAATTTAACATAATACAACTTACAGGAAACCGCATATATTCTCTAAGTTTGTTTCTGTTCCTTGCAAAATTTGGTAATAGACATGGTCCATTCGGTCATATGTAGCAAAGAGAGTCCAAGAGTGTTATCTTTCCCTTAGTCAACACAACTGAAAGCGACCTTGGTTGGAACAAAGCGACTCCACGACTGCCCTCCACTCTCCTACTTGAATAGAGGAAGAGCTAGCGTATACAGCCAAGTAAAATATTCTCAAAGCTACTTCCCAAGATGTATATCCCACTGAAATGGGCATTACTTAAGACTTGTCCAGAGATGGAAAATGAGTGTAAAATGCATCCAACCATCAATTCGTTGTGCTGCATAACAACTTCTATGACCGTAATTAAACATGTTGAAGTCCAGTCATTGGTTAAAATTATCCTCAATAGGGTGGTGGGAAATATTAGTGACTTGAGAGTGGTCTTTGACACAGGATCGAAGACAATGCTCTCTCTGATCGATGTACAATTAATAGTAAACTTAAAATTTCATCTGCAACTATCAGTTCCAATGACTCCACCATTAGCTATGTATTGTCTCCAAGAGTGTAATTCGACATGAATCTGCTAATTTTGAAAGGTTTCACATCAGAAGACAACACATCAAAACCAAGATCTAGACTATATGAGAGAGCCGTCAAACTGAACCAACTAAAGAACTGTACAGTGTAACTACTAATGAGTTTCTTTATCGAAAGATAACTGAGGAGAAGGGTATATGGTGAATCCAAACTTAGACTTCTTTCCATAATCAACACACATAAACGTTTTAGCAACTGAGATCCCTAACCCAGAACCAGTTCCACCACCAACAGCATCGATCACCAAGAATCCTTGTTTCCCAATAAAGTTGTCTGCAAGTTTGCTCACATGGTCAAGATAAAGATCCACAATCTCCTTTCCAACTGCAATTATATAAATTCAGAGAACTATTTGCAAAGTTAAGAAAGTTCAAAAAAGGAAATGCCTTTCTCACCACCTCTTGTGAGTTGTTAGCAACATCTTCTATCCGAGAGATAAACAGCTCGGGATGAAAAAGCTGGCGATAGGTTCCCGTACGAATATTATCAAAACAGTGGGCTCGAGATCAACGGAGACGTCATTAGGAACATGTTTCCTACACCAGTCTTGCTGAAGAAAATGTTGAAAGAATCATGTGCGACACCAAACGTAGTATCACTACGAGAGAAGCAAAAGACAAACCATGTTTGTCCCTCAAAAAGCTTCGACAAACTATGTTGTGTCATTATACTTGGCATCATGCCATCATGCTGGATTTGAGGCATAAAGCTCCCGGCAGGAATTCCCGACTTGAATCCCAGCTCAGGCGATATGAATACTTATTATTTCCCTCATCTATTTTTAGAACACCCTAATTTTTTTATCGATTTTGATCCTATATTTTATTTAACAGCTATTAAGGATTTAATTAGCTAGATATCATTTATATTGATAGAAACTTGTGAAGGGTTATATAAAAAATTAGGTACATGTGATTATAAAACTGTTAAATCACAACATGTTTAATAGGTGCAAAAAAACATGTCATGGTAATTTTCAGATCATACTATTAAAAATGATCTATTTTATGGATTTGCCCTTGAATTTACAGGCAAATTACTTCTTGGGCCATCATGGTTATGCCTAAAAATCGATATTTCATTAAAGGTAAAATCGGTCAACAAAAAAGGACCAAATATTCAACCTAATTATATGTTGTCTCTTTCTTTTGCCTTCTTCCCTTTGACTAGCGTTTCCTAACATATTTTGTGAAAGAATCAAACATATTTAAGGCTGATCTCTCACAAAACCTTCTCAGATTAGTTTCTTTTTTTTTATTTATTTTTCTGGGTTGTGGGTTTCTTCAAACTCGATAGTAATGTTTGATAAATTAAAAATAGCCATGGGCCTTTTAAATAAAACATGAAAATAAATGGGGCAATGGCCCAATTCACTTCAAGCCTTTGTAGCATAATAAATGAAGAAGAAGTAGTAAAAGTCCCACATCGGGGAGAAACAAGGAGAATGAGTTGTATATATGCGCACTCTCACTCTCACTTGATTAAACAACTCAGAGGAAGAGAGAACTCTCCACTCGCGCGCCACTGCTGCCGTCCGGCTCGGCTGCGTGGGCTTGGGCTTGGGTGGAGGGCTCCTGGCCTGATAAGAAGTTATTTTTTTGGACCAAGTTAAGATCAACACTTTGTCATTTTAAAATAAAAACAATATGATGTTTTTTGTAAACGATATGAAATTCGTCTTAAAACAACATGAAGTTTATCTTTTTGTAAAAGATCAGAACGAGTCAAAGGAAAAAATCTTGCGGAGAAAGTTTCTCAACTCTCCACGCCTGAGATCTCCGAGAGTATTTCGCTAACGTGCTCCGTTAGTTACGAAATTTGAACTCTCATTTCTTCTTTAGATACTCCTCTCCTCCTCCTTCATCGTTAAAGTTTTCACATATAAAAAACACCAGAAAATATCCCAAAGTAAGTCTAGAGAGTGTTTCGTAAATACTTAGTTCGTCAGATCGATTCACGAGTAAGGCGTGAATCGTCACCATGGTTTTATTCTGGGACTCGTTGTATAGTTTCGGCTCACTACGGAGCGAATATTCAGAGTTAAGGAAATATATCATATCTCGACTCCATGTATTATCATTCTTATTATTGTCTTTAGAATCATCTGTTTTCCTTAACTCTCTTTCTATTAAATAGT